TGCGGGAACAGCCAAGAGATTATGTAAAACAAAGCTGGGGACTAATATATCTCTGGGCCCAGAAGAAGACTGAAGTTTAGGGTGAAATTTAGGATATATGTAGAAATTTATTAGTATATGCTGTAAACAGATATAGGGAGAATAGAGGACTAATGAGGCTGGAATCTTTAACTCCAAGGGGAGGGTACTTCAGATAGAGGGGTTAGTTTAGTTTTTTTTTTCTCTTTGCTATATGGTCTTCTTTTTTTTCTTTTCTTTTCGTCTCTTCGTTTTGGTTTTCTTTTTCTTTTTTGGTATCTTGTGGTTTTCTGTATGTTAAAAAATTCAATAAAATTTAAAAAAATAAATAAATAAAAGAAGAAATTAGTAGTAGCCATTGGTTTGAAAGGTGGTCGGGTAAGTGCATTGAGGACAAGCCGCAAAGACCATTGAGAGAACAGCTGTTGACATGGGGGACGAATATTATGGAGTCCCTTCAAGAATTTCTTCAACATTGGATGAGAGAAAAACCTAGCCGAATCAGACTGAGAAGGTGGATGGGCTAGAATAGCAGAAATATACACCTTGAGGGTAGAGTGAGATAGTCTGAGATTAAAGAGATGAAGGATAAAGGTAAGTAAAGTCTTCAGACAAACAGGTGTTGTAAGTTCTGAGAATTGGCAAAAGAAAGGAATGCTTTCCATTTGCTTTGGTATAATCGTTGGATTGATGGCTTTCAGGCTTGATCTAGAACATTATATTGGGAATTTTCTCCACGCTCTCAAGTTCAGAGAGTCTATGTCGTGGTGGTAAATCATCCCATTGTCCTGGGTCAGAAGGTTGGGGATCGACGGGAGATGAAGCACGTTGGATGATATTGTCCTCAGGTGGGTGAACCATGGTTGACGTGGCCACCATGGAGTGAAGAGGATGGCATTTGAGTGGAAATGTCAAAGTCAAATGATGGTTCATTGTATGAGTGGAATCGGAAGATATAAGTAGAGTAGGTCTCTGACCCAGTCTATCATAAAGATGTCTCCAAGTGAGTTCCTGTCAATACTGGCTCAGGAGCAAAGAGATCAATGGATGGGACACCCCATCGATGACAAACAAGGTCGTTCAATGCCCATTTGTGTATCTTTGTGGTAAGGCGACTGAGATGGTTAGCAAGAAGGTTGTCCTCTGTGGTGATGTGGACCACTACTGGGAAAATGTGATGTGGGTAGCACCATTCCCAGAAATCGACCACCAGATACAGGAGCAACAGGGAGTGGGTACCTCCTTGGTTGTTTATATAGTACAGCACTGTGGTGGTGCTGCGGGCTAAACTGCAGAAGCCTGTGCTGCAGGGTCAGAAGACCAA